GGCCCACACCTGCACGGGTCACCTGCCAGTCCCCACACCCACCTCCCCGGCCCTGCATGTCCCCTGTCAGGCCCCAGGAAGCCCCCTGCAGACAGAGCTGTGTCCCTTGGGGCCAAGGTCTGTGCTGACCCCAGGTGGGGGAGAGGCAGGGAGGAGGGCAGGAGGGGACCCTGGGTGTCTACTAGGGGCCCTGGGGGTGGGCAGCTCCTCAGGCCTAGCACACGGAGGCAGGCGGTAGCCATGCCTCCTGTCCCCTCGTCTGTCCCTGGCCAGGAGCGAGGGCTGCCTCCTGGTGGGTGACCCTGCCCCCTGCCCCCTGGCCCCGCCCGCCTGTTCTGTGCTGGAGGTGGCCGATTCAGGCCCGGAGCGTGTGCCCCACGAGGGCGGGCATCGCGGCCCGGTGACCCCGTGCCCCGTGCCCTGCCCGACCCTCCCTAAAGCCCATGGGCAGCAGGAAGTGCTGCCTCGTCCACCCGGCCCCAGCTGGGGGAGCATGGGGTGACTTTTAGAGGACAGCAGGGCCTGGGGTACAAGGGCGGAGGGGGCAGGTGTCCACGCTGTGCCCCGCCTGAGCCGGCAGCTGGGGGCTGCCGCACCCTTCTGTGCTCCGGGACCCCCAGTGCTGCCCTCTGCCCACAGGTGTCCCTGCCCTCTCTGACCCCCCTGGGCACATTCCTGGCAGGGGCCCCCCTAGGGCTGGGGGAGCTGAGGTTAGAGGAGATGCCGGCGGGGCGCCTGGTTTGTGGCAGTGGGAGCCGGGCAAGGGGTGTCCTTTCCCGGGGACCTGGGTGTTCCAGGTGAGGCTCCCTCGGGGCTGGCTGAGGGGTCCCTGGAGAGGTGATGCTCTGTGCCGCGCACCGGGACAGCGAGGAGACCGAGGCACGGAGAGGTCGAAGAACTTGCCGAGGCCTCACAGCCGGACGGTGGCAGAGCTGGGGCGTGAGCCCGTCTGCAGCGCTCACGTCCACCCTTCAGGAGTGCTGACGGACAGCTTCCGGGCTTGGGGGTGCAGGGCTGCGACTGCACAGGTGGGGGCAGGCAGCGCTGCGGACCCAGGGAAGGCCTCTTGAGGGAGGGGGCTGAGCCGCCCTGCAAGGAAGCGAGGCTGTGGGGAAGCGAGGATGCGGCTCCCCGGGCTGGGGCAGCGCCGAGGCTCACGGGGACGCAGGGTGAGGGCAGGCTCAGCGCCTCGCGGCTGACCCGAGTCCATCTGGCCGCTGTGGAGCCCACTGGAGGCCTCAGGTGCGACGAGCCTGGCTATCTCCGGGGCAGGTGAGGCTGGAGCGACTGGGAATGTGTGGGCTGGGGACACCGGGGGATGCCAGGCTCCTGGGAGGGGGCAGGGAAAGACCTAATCCAGACCCCGCTCAGCCTCCTCCTGCTGTGTGACCTTGGACAAGTTATTTGACCTCTGTGGTCTCAGGTGCTTGTCTGTGGAACCGGAAGTCAGGTCTCCATCTTAGTGCTGGGGTTAGGGGTGGCGGCCGCAGGGGGTGCTCCAAGCTGCTTGTGGCTGATTCCGAGAGGGGGTGGAGGGAAGGTCCTGAGGGTGGAGCGGGAGTGGAGGCCGCGCCTGGCAGGGGCCCAGAAGCAGGGACAGGTGGGACTCAGACTCCCTCCTTGGGATTCTGGCTCTTGGCTGCAAGGAATCTTGGGATTCCTGCTCTGAGAGAGGTCGGCCACCTGCCACCAACCACAGGGGTGGCACTGATGGGAGGGCTGATGTCCTCGGAGGCACCCTGCCATTTAAACCCAGCACCACCTCTTTCACAGGTGAGGCCACAAGGCCCAGGGAGAGGAAGTGGTGCTCAAGACAGGGTCTCGCTGTGGAGCACAGGCTGCCTTCAAACTCTTGGTGATCCTCCTGCCTCAGCCTCCCATGTGCTGGGATTATAGGCATGTGCCACCACACCGTCAGGATCCTGGGGGATGAGAGGAGGAGGGGACCAGTATAGGGCAGGCTACGGCTACCTGGAAGACAATTGCAGTTCCACCGTTTACCACCTGGGACGCCCTGGCTGTGGTGTCTTCATAGCCCTGTGCCTCGGTTTCCCCATCTGTAAATGAAGGTGAAACACACATAGAGCACCTAGAGCAGCACCCAGCAGGCACCCAGGAAACACCAGCTGGTGGCGGCCGATGTCACTGTCAGTCCTGCCCCCTGAGGCAGCAGCGCAGTGGTAGAGCGGGAGTCCAGAGTGTCCAGCTCTAGAGACACAGCCGGTGGCAGGAGACAGACGGGAGGTGAGAGACACTCCTGCGCTGCTGCTCAAGTTTGCTTACCTGAGGGGCTTCACGCAGGGCTCGGGACAGGCAGCTCCGTGAGCTCGGATCACTGGGTTACAGCCTCACACAGCACTGGCGCACTGGCCTGCTTCACCCACGGCGCCTGGGCAGCCGGTCACAGTCACGTGCCCGAGGCCGGTGGGTCCTCTTCGGCGTGGAGGACAGCAGTGCGGTTGGCAGCAGGATGCATGCATCGAGGCATAGGATTGGAGCTGGGTGCAGTGGCCCACACCTATCCCAGCACTCTGGGAGGCTGAGGCAGGAGGGTTGCAAGTTGGAGCCCAGCCTGGGCAGTTTAGTGATTTAGTGAGACCCTGTCTCAAAATTTAAGAAAATGAAAAGCGCAGGGGCTCCATGGTTCAACCCTCAGTACTACCTAAAAAGAAAAACACATAGGACTGGTGTGTGCTCTGTGAATGTCAGCGGCTGTTGTTAATGATAAAGGGGTTGCAGGACTGAGATGGCCTCCCCTGCAGTGACAGAAGTCAGGCCTAAAGGCGTCAGGCTTGCCCCAGGGGAGCGCCAGGTGCCAGCCACGTCAGTTTCTGACTCCGCTTCCGTAACAGCCCACAGTGACAGGTGCTGAGTGCCCGTGGCCCTCAGAGCCCATGGCCAGCGCTGGCCGCCGCCTGCCTGGGGTGCCGGCAGGGTGGGGCGAGGTGCCGTGGCTCGCAGGCTCCCGCCGGCCTCCTCACCCTCCCCTGCCGCCTGGCTTCTGAGCCCTGGGGCTGCAGCGGGCGCCCTGGACTCTTGCCATCTCCTCCGCTCCTGAGAACAGGTCGTTTCCCAGGAGAGGGGAGGCCACAGGGATGCGCACACAGTAGCTCGGTGCAGGGCGGTGTCCACCACACCTGAGACCCTGCTGACGCCGGCCGGTGTTCCCCCTGCCCTGGGCCAGGCTCGTCTGGGCTGGGGCGTCCTCTGCAGTCTGCAGCTGACCCACCAGCCTTAGGGCCACTGTCCCCTCCTTCAGCCCACTGCTCCCTCTGTCCTGCTCCCCAGCCTGACTCTGCCTGCAGTGTGTACGAGTGTGTGTGTGTGTGTGTGTGTGTGTGTGTGTTTTGCTAGGGTTGGAACCCAGACCCTTCACACTGAGCTACATCCCTGGCCCATTTTTGTTTGTTTTGTTTGTTTGTTTAAACAGCATTTTTGCTACATTGCTAAATTGCCCAAGCTGGGCTCCAACTTGCCGTCCTCCTGCCTCAGCCTCCCAGAGTGCTAGGATTACAGGCTCTACAGGGTTTCTAAAATGTGCATTTCATTCCCACAAGGAAAACATGAAAAGGGCAGGGAAAGACCTACAGTGAGAGATCTCCCTTGCACCTCATCCCCGAGCCACGAAAGTGACCTCCGCTTCTCCGTATTATGATGGCGGCAGCGTCAGGATCCCCTGCAGCAGGCGTGCCCCGTGCTTTACAGAGCCAGGGCCCTGGGGAGGAAGATTTGGGCTGCTCCGAGCCTCTGAGGCCCAGCAGTGCTGCGGGAAGTAACCTTGGCAGCCTCAGGCATGTAAATTCCTAGAAGTGGTGCTGGTGAGCGTGTACCAGAGAAACGCTCCGCTCAATCTGAGTGCCTGTGTCACGGAGCTCCCCCGGGGCCGTGGGTGAGGGGCCGGTGGCTGGGGTTCAGCCTGCGCTCAGTCCCGTGAGGTGCAGGAGACAAGGCTGGGTCGTGACAAGCTGCACCAGGCCTTGGACAGCGGGGGAGACTGAGGCTGGGGGAGGTCGTGCTTGGCCAAGGGTCCTCCGTGTTGGTGCCACCTGCCCTGAGCCTGGGTGAGGACCAGCTGCCAGGAAGGGATGGGGTCCTGGGGCCCCAGGTTGGGCCGAATCTCTCAGCACCCACCTTCCCTGGAGACCGCGGTCCCCACGACTGGCTGCAGTACGGGAGCAGGAGGTGTCCCCACAGCCAGCTGCATGCAGGCAGCGCCCACTGAGGTCAGGCCTGGCCCGGGTTCCACTGCCTCTTTGAAGACCGCTGACCCTGTGCCCCGTCTCTGTCGATCGAGCCTCGCGTCCTGGTGGGGAGGTGGGGTGCCTCCCTGCCTCGGGCGGCGAGTGGCCTAGATTGGACAACTGCGATGCCAGCTGACAGAACCGGGGCAGCACAGCCGCCCACATGCTGCACAGATCTGACCCGCAGGCCGCGGAGCCGCGTGTCCGTGCAGTCAGGAGCCTGGGAAGCCACTGAGGCGGGCGGCAGGGGCTGGGCTGGGGTGGGCTGGGGCTGGTGGCAGCCTCAAGAGCCCAGGTTCCAGCCGCGGCGGGGAGCTGGGGATCTCAGGGCTGAGACCAGAGCTTCCATCCATTGGGCTGGTTTGGGGTCAGAAGATGGGGACCCTGCCTGGGCAGGGTGTTTATGGCCTGGTGCTTGGATCCAACTGGGTCAAAGTGGGCCATGCTGAGGGCAGAGAGGGGCCTTTCTCAGGATGGCAGAGCCGAGAAGCCGGCGGGGGCCCTGACCACGGCTTCGGGGCGCTGTGGGGCTAAGGAGATTAAAAGTGCAACTACCCAAGCATGCGGGGGTGATTTCTCCCTGCGGGCCCACACACTCATGAACAGGACATGGCCCGGAAGGGCTGCGAGTTGAATCCTGGGGTCTCTGTCGGGTGGTAAGCCGCCATCCCAGCATGAGGCTCCTCCCCCACATCTGGGGGCACCCAGGCTGGAGTGGGGCTGGGCCCCCCCCTCCAGGCTTCTCTCCTGTCCTCCCAGTGCCTGAGCAGCTGAGCCCCGCTGACTGCAGCCGCACCCCCGCCCCGCGCCCCACGGCCACACCATGTCCGGCTCCTACGATGAGGCCTCGCTGGCTCCGGAGGAGACCACCGACAGCTTCTGGGAGGTAGGCTGGGCGCTGCTGCCTGTACCCCCGCGTCCCATCGCAGCCCTCGGCCCCCACCTCCTCAGCCCCTCCGAAGCTCACTGCGTCCACCAGAAGCGGGGGAAAGATTCCAGCCTGGAGCCCCTTTGCCCCCGCTGCTGTTCCAGAGACGCGCGTGACCTTTCTCCGAGGGGCAGCAAGCCCCGCCCGGCTCTCGCCCTGGGGCCCAGTTCAGCTCCTGGCCCTTCACATGAGCAGGCGCAGCGCTTTACAGTCTACACAGCGTCGGGCTGGGGATTTAGCTCAGCGGCAAAGCACCTGCCTGGCAAGCGCAAGGTCGTGAGTTCGGTTCCCGGTACCGGAGAAAAACCAAAAAAAAACCAAAAAACAAACAAAAAAAAAAAACCAAACAGTTTACACAGCGTTCATCGAGGCTCCCCGCCCCCGCTCCAGAGGGGCGCAGGGCTGGACACAGGGCTGGGGGCGGCGGCTGGGGGGTGTGACCCCAGGCTAGAAAGCAGCACTTTGGGAGCTTCCAGAAGGCTTTGAGACCCGGGGGAGGAGATCATTATTGGCTCCCGAAATCCAAAACGAAAACTGCCAGACCTAAATTAATAAGTGTTTAATGAGATGTCTACAAAACATAATATTGTGTCAAGAATCTGCGGCTCAACTCAACGCTTCTGCAACTCTATAAATATAATGGGTTTAGCTCGTGAGAACAGCATGAATAATTCATTCGAGCCCAAGTCCAAATTATAAAACTCCTTCCGCATTATGTAGCGGCGAGGAGGTGATGTCTGAAGTGGGAAGAGGGTGCGCAGAAGTGGGGGCGCCTGGCACCGGGTGGTAGGCACCCCAAGCAGAGGGGTCGGGAGTCCTAGAGGGGAATCGGCGCGCGCGCGCCCCCTGCAGGCCGGGGCCGGGAGCGCGGGGCCGCAGAGTCACGCGCGCTTCCGCCGCCAGGTGGGGAACTACAAGCGCACGGTGAAACGCATCGACGACGGCCACCGCCTGTGCAATGACCTGATGAGCTGCGTGCAGGAGCGCGCCAAGATCGAGAAGGCGTACGCACAGCAGCTCACCGACTGGGCCAAGCGCTGGCGCCAGCTCATCGAGAAAGGTGCCTCCAGGGTCTCCCCAGACCCGACCCCTAACCCCCACCAGCACACCCCCGGGATTGTGTCCCCAGTAGCTGGCGTTTCCTGTAGTCACAGGGCCTTTTGGGGGGTTGCTTCCTCTTCAGGTAGGATTTTTTAAAAATCACAGGCGCGGTGACCAGCACTCAGGAGGCTGAGGCAGAGAGATCACGAGTTCAAGCTCAGCCTGGGTAACTTAGCAAGTTCAAGGCCGGCCTAGACTACATAGTGTAGAAACTGTCTCCTGCTACGAAGGAAGGAAGGAAGGAAGGAAGGAAGGAAGGAAGGAAGGAAGGAAGGAAGGAAGGAAGGAGGGAGGGAGGGAGGGAGAAAGGGGGCTAAACCAATTTTGAAATAATTTAAGCTTCTAGTAAAGTTGCATCCATAATACAGAGAACTGCATACCTTTCACCCAGACTCAAAAAAAGCAAACCAAACTAAACAAACAAAAAATTGGGACATTTAACATGGCCCAGATGCACATGTGACCACAGCAGTGGTTTGGGCTGCCCAGGCTGGGTGTGGAATCACACCCTGCACTCCTGTGATCCGGAGCAGATTCAGGTTGAGGTTTACATTTCTTTGTTAACTATTTTTCTATTCCATAGACTCTAGACCCCATCAGGGCAGGGGCTGGGCCTGCTGCCTAGCACAGCACCCGGCACACACTTGGTGCCCGCACACAGACAAAGGAAGCTGAGTGACTGGTCCTCAGCGGGCTCCTGGCATCAGCCCCTGCAGGTGCTGGAGTTGCACATTCGGCTGACTTTCCTGAGCACCTACTATGGGCCTGGAGCTGGGCTAGGCTAGGGAGAACCTGGAGGACCCAGGCCGGCCCCTGGGGCTCCCACGTTGATTGGGAGTAGGGACAGAGGCAGGTGCACCCAAGGTGGAACAGGGGGAGGAAGCTTCCTGGAGGTGGTGGCTGCGGCCCTGGAGGGTGGATAGAAGTGCATGGAGCACTCTGGGGAGGGGAGGGTCACTGTGAGCCACTGTTGCACCCTCAGGCCCGCAGTATGGCAGCCTGGAGCGGGCCTGGGGCGCCATCATGACAGAGGCAGACAAGGTGAGCGAGCTGCACCAGGAGGTGAAGAACAGCCTGCTGAATGAGGACCTGGAGAAAGTCAAGAACTGGCAGAAGGACGCCTACCACAAGCAGATCATGGGCGGCTTCAAGGAGACCAAGGAGGCTGAGGACGGCTTCCGCAAGGCCCAGAAGCCCTGGGCCAAGAAGATGAAGGAGGTGCCCAAGGGCAGTGCCCACAGCAGAGCAGGGCAGGGTGGACTGGGGGCCAGGGAGGTGTCTGCAGGTGGTCAGCACATTGTCCCAAGCACGGTACCCGCGGGAGCAGCGCCACCTTCCACAAGGAACCACCCACTGTGGGGGGCAGACGGCACCCCTGGATAGAGACCCAGGGGAAGAGAGGCCCTGTCCCCGTGAGAGATACTCCCAGGGCATGTCAGATGGGGCGGGCACTGCAGTGCACAGCAGGGACACCCACAGAAGAGGGCAACTGTCCAATCACCTGGAGTCACGGCCAGCAGCCCCGGTGTGCAAGACCGTGTACCCACCACTCTCCTGGGGTGAGCGAGCAGCAGCTCCAGTGACGAATGCACCTGCTCACAAGTGGGACGCTTGTGTGCCCTGTCCCCTCCCACAGCTGGAGGCTGCCAAGAAGGCCTACCACCTGGCGTGCAAAGAGGAGAAGCTGGCCATGACGCGGGAAATGAACAGCAAGGGCGAGCAGTCGGTCACGCCCGAGCAGCAGAAGAAGCTGCAGGACAAAGTGGACAAGTGCAAACAGGATGTGCAGAAGGTGCCCCCGGGCGCGGGGGCGTGGCTAGGGTCTGAGGGCCCCCGGAGTGGGAGATGGCCAGGGGCCGCACCTGGCGAGGTCTCACCAGCCTCCGCCCCCGGGGCCCACAGACGCAGGAGAAGTACGAGAAGGTGCTGGACGACGTGGGCAAGACCACGCCCCAGTACATGGAGGGCATGGAGCAGGTGTTCGAGCAGTGCCAGCAGTTTGAGGAGAAGCGACTGGTCTTCCTCAAGGAGGTGCTTCTGGACATCAAGCGTCACCTCAACCTGGCGGAGAATAGCAGGTACCTGGCACAGCGGGCACGGCCAGCAGAGGGGCCCCAGCCCGCGATGAAAGGAAGAGGCCACCTGGGTGTGTGCTGACCCATGCTGGGCACCCAGGAAATGTGTGGGGGGTGGGGGTGAGTGGCCGAGGTGCTGTGCAGTAGGGAACCCCTCTGGGCATCCCGAGCTGTGCCGCCCTGCTCCCCCAAACGGAATGAGATCAGGCCCTGGTGAACCCCTGTCCTCTGCCCGCCCCTTGTTCCTGAGCAGCTACATCCACGTGTACCGAGAGCTGGAGCAGGCCATCCGGGGGGCCGACGCCCAGGAGGACCTCCGATGGTTCCGCAGCACCAGCGGCCCCGGCATGCCCATGAACTGGCCCCAGTTCGAGGTGAGGACGAGCGGGGGATGGGAAATGGGAGCCGAAAAGGCTGGCAGGCGTCTGGAGGTACAGCCCCCAGAACGACTGCTCCCTGCCTCCACCAGGAGTGGAACCCAGATCTGCCCCACACCACTGCCAAGAAGGAGAAGCAGCCCAAGAAGACCGAGGGGGCGGCGCTGAGCAACGCCACCGGGGCGGTGGAGTCCACATCCCAGGCTGGGGACCGCGGCAGGTGAGCGTCCCACTGGAGTTTTAAGAGCTGAAATCACGCAGATGGCTCTCCCTTCTGTTCAGAGCTGACCTGAGAGCCACCGGCCCCGGGCCCCCTGCTCCAGCCTAGCAGTACTGGGCCCCTGAGCCCAGGTTAGGGGGAGCGCCCTAGGGTGGGGCCGCTCTCAGGAGTCCTGCCTTCATATCTCAGCGTCAGCAGCTACGACAGAGGCCAGCCTTACGCCACAGAGTGGTCGGACGACGAGAGCGGAAACCCCTTTGGAGGCAATGAGGCCAACGGAGGCGCCAATCCCTTCGAGGATGACGCCAAGGGCGTCCGCGTTCGGGCCCTGTATGATTACGACGGCCAGGAGCAGGACGAGCTCAGCTTCAAGGCGGGTACGGTGGGCTGGGCCGCTGGGCGAGGCACAGGGAGAGGGCTGGGCTTGGATTGGGTGCGGCGGAGGGGCGGGGCCTGAGGGTGGAATCAGAGCCTGGATTGGGCGTGGCAACGGAGCTGGGCGTGGGCAGAGGGCTGGGCCTGGATTGGGTGCGGCGGAGGGGCGGGGCCTGAGGCCTCCTCCCAAGGTTTGGGTTAGGGACCGTGGGGCGGGCGGAGGTGACGGGGATGGAATAAGGGGGCGTGGGGTCTGGAGGCGGAATTTAAGGAGCAGGGTTGGGAGCTGTGAAAGGAACCGGAGGCGGGTCCTGGGCATCAGGGCGGGCTGGACCAGGTGAGGTGATGGCCGAGGTAGGTCCGGGCCTCTGTGCCAGGGGATGCGCGGGTGTTGGGCTGGGACAGGGGCGGGGCCGTGGCCGAGGCCAGAACTCAAGGCCGAGTAAACAGGTGGGTGCATTGGGACTTTGGGTCTCACCTGGCCAGGGAGGGCCAGCTCCGCTGCTCCTGTGTGGTCAACCATCCCTTCCTGCGTTCCCTTCCCAGGAGACGAGCTCACCAAGCTGGGCGAAGAGGACGAGCAGGGTTGGTGCCGCGGGCGGCTGGACAGCGGGCAGCTGGGCCTCTACCCCGCCAACTACGTGGAGGCCATCTAGCTGCCCGCCGGGCCACGCCCTCCCTCGGCCCCACCGCGGCCCTGCCCTCCCCCCTTCCTTTCCCTCCCCTTGCCATAGAGTTCCAGACATATTTTCCGATCAAGCTTTTATTTTTTTAAAAGTCAAAACAGAACAAAAAATATAAAGAGACGGAGCATTTGCAGGGCCACCTGGAGGCCAGGGTGGTGGAACTTGGGACGACGGCCCTGGGGTGGCTGAGGGTCTTAGGACTTAGCCCAACATCACATCTGCTCTTCGGAGTCCACCAAAGAGTCTCCTGAGCCCCGAGAGACATCTGGACCCCTCTTCCCTGCCTCGCCGTCGCCTACCTGCCCCAGCTCACGCCAGGTGCCAGCACCGCCCCTGCTCTCTGAGCCTAGCCTCCTAACCTCCCCCTCCTCCTCTCCCCAAGAAGGGAGCCCCGATCTTGAGTCTTCCACTCTGCCCGGAGAAGCTTCTCCTAGCCCCATCCCTTGGGACTGGAGGGGGAAATGTCACCCTCCTTTCCTGCAGAGGTTCCCAGGGGCTCCCAGGCTTCCCCAGGCATGAAGTGAGGTGATCTAGATGGAGGGGCAGTGCCACTGCATAGCGGAGGCTATGTGGAAGGACACTGGCACTTCAGCCCAGGCTGTGCCAGGCCTCCCAAAGCCGAGCCCATCTGTGGACCAAGACCCTTCTTCCCAGCTGCCAACGCTATGGGCAGAGCCCCCTCCTGAGAGCCACACCCCTCCATCACTCGCAGAGGCCCTGCCCCCCTCTCTTAAATCCTTTGCCAGGGGCAGGGGCCCCCAAACCCAGGGCAAAGCCAGCAACAGTAGCAGCCTCCTCCCGTTTCCTGGGGAGGAGGGCATCTTGCCCAGTCCACTCTCACCCGCTCCCTACCGATCCAAACCCTGGAATCACGGGCTCAGCGCCAGCCTCCGTGAAGCCAAGCCTTGTGCCTGCAAGGCTCCCGGCCTGACCGGTACCCCCACCCCCGCCTGGGGAGGTGCTGGGGGCCGCGGGCACTTCCAGCCTGGGGCCATCAGGGCAAGGCCTGCGGTCAAGTGGGGCAGGGGGGAGCATCTCTGGCCTCCGGGGCAAGACAGTCACCCGTCTTTCTTCCTGGTCCCCCAACCCTTGGAACAACATTCCTCTGCGGGCAGCACCCCCATCTCTCCAAGCCTGGGTCCCAGTCAAAGGAGCCAGGGGCGTGAGGGGCAGAGGGCCGCTTGGCTTGGTGACGACAGTTGTCCCCGTGTCGGTACGGGGATCACAGACTCCTCCTCCTCCCTGCTTCCGGGGGCTCCGGGGGCTCCGGCGAGAGGCAGTGCGCTGCCCCAGCCCTTCGCTCCCTGCTCCTCCAGGGCTCCGCCCCGCTCCTGTGGGCCGCAAGGATGCGACCGCTCTGGCAGGGCCCAGGCTGGGACAGGCCTCCCTCAGGGGCAGGGACAATGACACCCCAGGCACAGACATGCCCCCCGCTGCCAGCACTCTTTTTATCACTGTCTGGTCTCTGGGCCTCTGCTGCAGCCTGAGACGTGGCCCGGGCCTCTCAGAGCCCAGAGCGCTGGCTGAACCCACAGCGCTGGCTGGGGGCTCTGCCCCTTACCGCTTGCCTGCAGCGGCAGCAAGCTGGCTCGCCCGCATCTTGGAGCCTAGGCTCCCCCTCTTTGTGCCAGGCTGGACCCCGGCCTGTCCCTCTGGCTGCCCAGTGCCGGGCAGGGACTGGAGAACCCACCCCTTTGGAGCAGCCACCTCCACAACCCCACATGGGATCCGCCCTCAGACCCCAAGCCCCTGAGAACCCCGAAGCAGGAGGGTCCCCCCTCTGCAAGTCCCCTGAGCTCGGGGACCCGCCTCACCTGTCAGTGCTGGTGTCAGGGCCACGCCCACCCGCCTCCTGTGGCCCCGCCCTCCCCTACGTGATGCGGCGCAGGCCTGGCCCTGGCGGGCTCTGCCAGTGACATGTCTGTCTCCAGTTAACGACCATTCTGCGGCCGGGCTCTGCGAGGGCCTGGGCTGCCCCGCTGCCGCCGCCACCACCTGCCGCCTAGGCTACCTGATTCCATTAGTTCCGACACTTGTGAACCTCCGAGAAGTGCTGTGGTCTCAGCAACGCACCTGTTTTGTACATGATTGTGTAATTTAAAGGTATATAAATACAAATATCTATATATATATATAAGTCGTGACTGTATGACTGTGGATAAACCCAGAACTGTGTCAACCTGGCTGGATGTGGTCTTCTCGAGTCTCACGTGTCTTCTTCTGGCCTGGGCTTTCGGTGGTTGGGATATCTGTCGGGGAGGTGGTCCCAGAGCAGGACTGGGTGCTTCCTGAGGCGCCAGCCTCCTTGGGTGCGAGGTGCCTAGGGACACCTCTGGCCAGGAGGGCTGGGGCATTCAGTGTCCCAAATTCATGCATGGGTCAAAGGTGACTGGGTTTTGTTTTGTTTTTTTCTTTTTCTGGGACCAGGGGTTGTGCTGAAGGCATTCACACTGAGCTACACCCCCAACCCTTTTAAATTTTTTAAATTTTGAGACAGGGTTTGGCCGAGGTGCCCAGGCTGGGCTTGAACTTGTGATCCTCCTGCCTCAGCCTCCCGTAGTGCTGGGATTACAGGTGTGCAGCATCATGACCCCCTCATACTTTTGTTTTTTAAAGCAGAAATTCTCAAAGTGGCTGCTGAAGCCTGTGGTTCTGTTACCCCAGGCCCAGGCTCACTGGGTGTGACACCAGGCCCTCCTGAGCCCTCCAGTGGCCTGACCTGCTCTGATGGCTGTTCTGAGGGGAGTCCCTGGGAGGGTGTGCAGACTGGGTAGGACTGGAGCTTGACTCTCAATGATTCTGCCAGGCCCGGGCCCTGCCCCAGTGTCAACTCCAAGTCCAGCCCTGGAACTACCCCCCACACCTCGCTAGATCTCTTCTGGGAGGACACAGGTCCCCTACGTGACAGTTCTCCCACTGCATCAGTTTGGTGAGATTCTCTCTGAGGCCTCACTGGCCCTAGCCACTGACACAAACCCACCCTCCCTTGATGTCATGGTGGGGCACACCTGTAATCCCAGCTTCTTGGGAGGCTGAGGCAGGAGGATTGCACATTTGAGACCAGCCTGGGCAACTTAGCTAGACAGTGTCTCAAAATGAAAAAAATTTTTAAAGTCATATAAGTAAATAACTCTGTGGCATTATCCAGGCCCTGGGTTCCATCCCCAGGACTGAAAAAACCCCCAGCCCCTTATCCCATCCCCTTATCCTGCCTCATCGTGTGCTCAGGACAGGGAGGAGGGCAGGGAGGGGCACTGGGTCCATTTGCCACCCCTCCTCCACTCCCCACCTCCACCTCCACTTGAAGCCAGAGTCATGGAAGGATAGAAGGCCGAGCTGTCTCATCGGCAGAGCTGTCCCTTCCGTCACAGGGCGCCCAGGAGCAGGGTCCCGTCAGGAGTGTGGGAGGCACCTTGCTCCGCACTCCGGCTCTGACACCCGCCTGTGCTCCCCAGTCCCTGCCTGAGCTCTGCCAGCTGTCCCCGCTGGGACGGGACGTCCAGTCCCAGCCGCTGGCTCTAGGGACTCACTGGGGGTGGGGCGGGCTGGCCACAGACAAAACCAGTTGGTTCAGCAGAGCAGAGGCCGCTTCTGGCCCGGCTCCCGGTCTGCCCCCTCCCGGGCCCGGAGACAGCAGGGCCCCCTCCTCCTCGGGTCCAGTCCCAGCTGGCAGATGCCAAGGCGCTGTTTGCTCGCTGCCAGGAGTAAACTTTCTTCCGAAGACAATAAAATCGCTGGGGGCGGAAGGCAGGCGTCCAGGGCCGCGGTTAACCCTCGGTGGCCTGGGTGGGGCCAGCGCCTCCCCGTTCCCTGGAAGCGCGGCTGGGACCTGGGACGCGGGCTGCAGGTTTCGGGTTGGTGCCCACCAGCCCTGAGGCCGGAGGGGTGGAGGGGAGGGACGGCTGTGCTCCGGGAGAGCGCGGCGGAGGACTGCTGTCATCCAGCCTCCCTGAGCCTCAGGGTGGCCCTGGGAAACGGGAGCACACACTACTGCAGGGGTGGGAAGGTCAGTGACGGGGGAAGCGGCGCGCCCGGCGGGGCGCGGGCCCTCAGGATCCTCCAGTGCCCGAACGCTCCGAAGGACATTCTAGCCTGGACAGCGGCGGTGGGTGTGGCCTCCCCGCACATGCGCAAATGCGCGTTCCCGCCCCCTCCAGCCCCCAGCTGCCTCCTGCGGGGGCGGGGTGTGACGGTCCCCCCTCCCCGGACCCGCGGTCTTGACCGTCTTCCCCACAAACTGCTACCGACCCCGTTATCCCTTTAATCTTCGGGGCCCAGCTCAGTGCCACCTTCCCCTGCTATCTCAGGCCCCTGTAACTAAAACAAATTTTTTTAAAAACTTTCCTGGAATACTAGGAATTCATACTGAGCTAACATTCTCATCCTTTTTAAAAATTTTTTTAAAAAATTTATTTTGATTTGATTCCCGGTACCAAAAAAAAAAAAAAAAAATTATTTTGAGGCTGGGTCTTGTTAAATTGCTAAATTGCCCAGACTGGTCTCCAACTCGCCATTCTCCTGCCTCAGCCTCCCAAAGTGCTCGGATCACAGGTGTGTGTGTTACCATGCACCACGGATCTTCTGTGACCACTTGACCACTGATGGGCTCTGGGCTGTCCCATCCCCTCACAGGCCCTGGGGACCTGTCTGTTTCCCCACATCCTGTTCCTGGGAGCACTCCTGGCTCCCAGCTCAGGGTACAGATGTCTCCTAGCCCCACGCCAGGCCTGGGGCAGAGTGGGCAGCGGGGCTTGAACAGAGGAAGCCCCAGTGTTCACAGCCATGGCCATGTCCCTGCTGTTCCGAGGCGCTGCTCTGGACCTGTGGGGTCCGAGGTGGAGGTGGCGGGGGCCTGTGCCAGGGAGCGGCCTGTTACCCTGCATCCACCAGGGCACTGTACATGGAAGCAGCAAGGGCCTGGGTCCCCAGGGAGCGTGCTGTACCCCTAGCAGCAGCAGGCCGCCCTCCCTGACCTTGTGCTTGGGGACCCAACCTCAGGCTGCCCTTTGTCCCTGAGCCCAGCCACATCTGGCCAGGGCCAAGGCGGCAGGACAGGGGTGGCCAGGTGGCTGCAGGCCTCAGATGGGGTGCACGAACTGGTAGACGAGGCGCTGGGAGATGTCCGGCTTGCGGATGATCCCCTTCTTGTAATACTGGCGGATGGAGCGGCTCAGCTTGTCGTAGTTCATGGCGGGGCGGTTCTTACGGATGCCCCACAGCCGGGCCACCTGGGCAGAGTCCTCGATTTTGAAGATGCCTGGGGGGGCAGGGGGGTCCAGAGAGAGGCGGAGGTGCAGACGGGCCAGGAAAGAGAAAGGCAGAGACCGACAGTTCGGTGTGGGACCCTCAGCAGGACGGGGTGTGGCGGGCTCCCCAGACCCCGGGGCAGCCGATGGCAGCTGTGTGGCAGCATCCAGCAAAGAGGGGGGCAGCTCCCAAGCCCCCAGGGCCCCAGCGCCCGGCCCAGAGCCACGCTCACCCTTCTCCTTGTTGAGCCAGCGGATGAGGCGGCCGTAGCTGTGTGGCTTCAGCAGCAGCTCCCGCAGGAACTGCCACAGATGGATGGGCTGCCCGGAGCAGGACGAGTCCACCTCGCTGTCAGTCCAGCTGTCCTCGCTGGTGGACGCTGGCGGCCAGGGGAGGGCAGTGAGTGGGCCGCTGAAGCCACTCGGCCTGGGAGGCAGCCACCCTGCCTTCCGGCCGCCCTCCCTGCGCCCCCCGCCAGGCTCACCGCAGCAGTGGACAGCCCCTGGCGAGGTCCTCGCCTTCATCCAAGCCGCTGTGGGGCAAGGAGAGCAGGTTGGGGATCCAGGAGGGGCCCAGGGGAGGCAGGGAGAGCTAATGGGAGCCACTGCGGGGCCATAGAGCCCCCCCGGGGGTGGCTGGGGTGTCCCCCTGCAGCTCCTGCTAATCACTGATCTGAAAGCAAGCTCCTTGTGAGGAGCTTCCTGGGCGTTTTAGGATTTCAGAGCTCAGAGCCCCTGCGAACGTCCCTGCTTCATGAGTCCCGGTGCGGATGCGTCCCCTGGGGTGCACCTGAGAGCCAGCGGGTGTGGGGGTGTCGCTCAGGGCCCGGACTGTAACATCCGCTCCCTGCCCTCCGGCCCCCCAGGGCACCGAGTTCCTCCAGCCCCTCCAGCCTCCCGCTGCTGGCCAGGCTCAGCTCGCGCACCTCCATGACGACAGCAGGGAGGGGGTGCTCCTGTCCATGTCACCACCCGCTGCCGGGGGCCCGAGCTGCGGGGTGCCGGTCTGTGGTGGGATCCTGTGCCTGGCTCCTGTCCCCTTGTTCTTTCAAGGCCTTAAAGCAGGGACCTTGACTGACCGAGCAAAGTGGGCAGCTGTATACAGCAGAGGTTGGCCCTTGCCACGGAGACAATGTAAACGTGTGGGTTGGCACATGGCCATTGAAAAGTATACAGCAGCTGGGTGAGATGGCTCACACCTGTAATCCCAGCATTCTGGGAGGCTGAGGCAGGAGGATCTTGAATTCAAGTCCCATTTGGACTATGTAGTTCAGGCTGGCGTTGAACTCCTCCTGCCTCTGCCTCCAGAAGGACGAGATTACTGTTTTGGTTTTTTTTTTAATTTTGAGACAGGGTCTCTCTAAGTCACTAAATTGCCCAGAGTGCTGAGATTATGGGTGTGCACCACTGTGCCTGGCTCTGACTTCTACCTTTTGTCTTCCTTGTGCTCTGTGTTAAGTTCTGTGGACTTGGCAGGGCCAGGGTGGATTGGTGAGGTTCCCTAGGACCCAGGCAGGCTGTTGTCACTGGGGCTGAATTCTCAGGGGCGTTCAGATGGGAGCAGGGGCTGCTCTCCCGTGGAGGAGATCAGCCTGCATCCTGGCCTCACTGGCCCCCACCGTCCCACCTGATTTCCAGATGTCCAGGTGGGCGTGCAGCACGTCCCCGCCCAGGGGCGAGCGCTGGCGGAACTGCTCCTCAGACAGGGCGCACAGCTCCTTGCCCCCCAGTTCCTGGAAGGCCGTGCCCACGGGGGGCAGCCGGTACTGGTGCTCGGTCCACAGGAGCCACTTCTGCACGTTGCCGGGGCTCCAGTCCACGGGGTCTGGGGGAGAGACACCCACCGGGCTCCAATGCAACCCTCTGTGCCCCGGGATTATGGGCTGTTTGAGAGGGGGGTGAGCCAGGTCTGGGCAGGACGTTAGGGGCCTGGAGGAGGAAGGTACATCAGGAAAGACAGGAGCCAGAGGGCATAGCCAGGACCCTAAAAACAAACAGGGCTCAAGCCAGGGCCCTGTGGCCCTCCAAAGGAATTTCCAGCGGAGCCTCAGCCCTGGAGGGATGGGGACATTAAACCAGAAACACCTGACCTTCTCCTTAGCTACTTCTTGCTTTCCCAGCCCCCTAAGAACCAGAGAAAAACCGAGCCAGGGATGACAAGGGACGAACAGAATATATGGTGAACGCTTAAATTTTAAAAATTGTAACAGCAGGAGGCACATTGCTCTGAATCCCCCTCAGAACCCTCCCCTGAGCCCCTCGTTCTTGTCACTTTCTGAAGCAGCTCTGAAGTCCTCGCTCACATCAAGATGTAATCAAAAATGCGGTGAATGCTGCCGCTGAGCGCCGTCCAGTAGAAAGGCAGGCTGTGACAGCGTCTGCCTTATTACTGGACCTGGTGCTGCGTGACTCCCTCCAAGGGACTGTGAAAGGGAAGCGTCTCGGATCGATGCCGGACACTAAGGCAGCCAGGACAACACAGGTAAAGACACTCAGGAAAGGGGCTGGGGATTGAGCTCAGCGGCAAAAGCGCCTGCCTGGCAAGCGCAAGGTCGTGAGTTCGGTTCCCGGTACCGGAGAAAAACCAAAAACCAAAAAAATAAAATAAAATAAAAGACACTCAGGAAAGAGGACTCCAGAGCTGCTGCAGAAATTGGCAAGGACAATGGGATGAGTGTGTTTGATGCCAGGGGGAGGATTTTGAGGGGGATTCACCTCGATGTGTCTTTTACAGGAACATATTTTAAAATTTAACCTCCGGCTGTATTTTTCAGTAGCATCTCATAGTGTTATAACCCCCCCCACACACACACACACACATGACTTCATCCGGGTACTTTACAGAGGAGGAAACAGGCCCGCTGAGGTGCACGGTAGCTGTTCGATGCATGCATGCTGAGTCCACAAGCAGCAGAGTCCGGGGAGGCTATGGGGCCTCAGGGGCCAGGGTGGTCACTGGTCACTGGCTCAGACCCCGTGGCCCCCGGGTAGGGCACACAGGGGCTGGGCTGGTGGGTGCAGTTACAGCAGGGCCTCCAAGGGAACAGCAGGTGAACACCTCGACCTCCTTGTAATAAGACCATTTCCTCACCAGGTCAAAGTGATTTGTTTCTGTCCCATTGTTCTGAGGGCACAGGGACCTCCCAGGGTGGGGTGCGGTAGAAATGGGAGGACCAGGCCATCGGGCCATTGGCAGATGGGCCGCTGTGGACAGGGGCTGGGCCTGAGGGCTGCGGAGGAGCCCCACTTCTTTGTGAAAGTTGTGGACGGGACAGGCCCACACCTACCTTCCCTGCCCGGCAGGGGCCAGCATGCTTGGCCAGCTGTGCCCTCCTTACCACACATGGCAGGGCACATGGGTCTGCTTATTTCCTACCCGTTCCCGCACCATAACACCAGCCCAGGGACACAGGGACCTTACACTGTGTCCCCACTTAGTTCCCTGATCTTGGAACAGGGCCTGGGGAATGGACGAGCGCTTGGGGTTGAATGTACTCCACAGCTGTTTATTCAGCAGCTATTATATCCAGATGCTGCCCAAGGCACTGGGGTGTGGAGATGAACAAGCAGGGGGTAAATCCCTGCCCCTGTGGCATGTGGATTCTAGAGGGAGACGCAGAGGGTAAAGGAGAAGGGAAAGCAGCAGGTCTGAGGAGAGTTGGCACTGAGAGAGACCGACAGCGGGTAAGGGAGTAGGAGCTGGAGGTGGGCAGCAGCATCGCTGGAGGGGCAGGACGCCCTCACTGAGACTGTGGCACCTGGGCCAGGACCTGACGGGCGGGGAAGGCTCGAGTGGATGCGGGGGACATGGCATAGCCAGGCTGAGGGGCTATGGGTGCGAGGGCCCGGGGTGGGTGCTGCAGGAGGCTGAGAACAGGGGAGCAGAGCGGGTCCTGGAGCAGAGCCAAGCCAGGGTCCCCCTCACCCCGCGCCTGTTCAGGGGGCTCTGGGCGGCAAGGCGGGGCCGGGGTCGGCGGGACCCTCCCAGCCAGGCTGTGGTACTGTGTCGGTGGTGCCCCGCCCCACAAGCCCAGCCCCACCGGAGCCCGGGCAGCCGCAGGGGGAGCGCTCACCGGCGGCGATGTTGAGCAGCTTGCAGGCCGTCTCGATGTCCTTGAGCACCTCGCCCACCACCATGGACTGCACCTGCTCCAGCGAGTGCTCCTCCAGCGCCAGCCCGCCCGGCGCCAGGTCCAGGCTGCCCCCCGGGGCCTGGCTGTCGATGACCGGGCACTGCTCGGGCTCCTCGGGCGGCTCCTCCTGGGTGCTGGCCGCGGGGCCCTTGGCCACCCAGGTGCCGTCCTCGGGGTACAACATGTCGAAGTCGGAGAGGTAGAAGGTGGACAGGCCCTGCTCGGGCGTGGCGGGCGGGCTGGGGCTCCAGTCCCCTTTCCCGGGCCCCGCTGCCTTCTCCAGGCCTGAGCGCAGCGCCGCGTCGGGGGGCAGCAGCAGGCAGCCGGGGGGCACAGTGCTCAGGCCCGGGCTGGCGCTGCCCATGCCGCTGCTGCTCCGGCTGGCAGCGGTGTCTGCAGGGAGGAAGGAGACAGGCTGACCGCCTCCCGCGTGGCCGTTAAGCTGGTTACAGGGAAGAGGGGCCCGGGGGCGGGGGCTTCTGGGTCACTGGGCATCGAGATCAGTGCTAGTGGGAAGACAGGGCCAGGAGAGGGGCCAGGCCGGCCTCAAGCTGCAAATCTGAGCCCAAGTGATGAGCTTAAAACAACCCTGAGGCTTAGGATGGAAAGTGCCAGTGGCCCATTTGGCAGATGAGCAAATTGAGGTTTAGACAGGGCACCCTTCCTGTCCCAATCCTTCCTGCAAGCCAAACTAACTCGTGCTGTGCCTGTCGCTGGGTCCGGGAACCCTCCCCAGGCTGTCCTCAGAACCGAATCAGTGTGCAGTCTGGAGGAAGGGACTTCCAAGGTTGACATAATAAAACCCTGGGGTCCCTGGAACCATTAGTGAGTTATGGTCTGAGACTCAAGAGCTCCAACAGAAGTAGAAGGTTACCAAGAGGTGTGTGCCCCCGAGAACTTCAAGGGGTGCATGGCAGGGAGGACAGGAGTAAGGCCAGTGCTCTGGGAGGCTGAGGAGGATTGCAAGTTGGAGCCCATGCTGGGCAACTCAATGAGACTTTGTCGCAAAATAAAAAAAATTAAAAAGAACCAGGGAAGTAGCTCAGTGCGAAGGTCCTGGGTTCAATCCCCAGTGCCACCACAAAAAGAAAAAACAAGAGGAGGCAAGGGGCACTGCCCGCGGGGACGATGGGCTGGTTTGCCCCTTCGGTGGGGTGCCCAGGCCCTCAGGAGGAGTGGCCCCTGGCCCTGGGTGACAGAAACCTCACTCTTGGGTCACCTGAGAACTGGGGGTAGAGTGGGGACAACAGCGACTTCAAAGGCCTTTGTGTGACTTGGGGGACGGTGTCTGGACAGGAGGGGGAGGTGCACAGCCTCGACTGGCAGCGGCCTGTCTAGTGGTACCTGACATGGCAGGGTGGGCACGGGGCTCCCTGGCCATCTCCACTCACCCTGTGGACCAGCCTGTACAGCCTCGGTGGGCAGCTAGCCTGCTCGAGACCTTCCTGAAAACTCAGAAAGGGACGTCCCTTCCTCTCTGGAGAGCGAGCTCGGTGACTAGAGCCGGGGAGAACTGCAGTTTCCCCTGCCTACCCCTTGCTCAGTGCCCAACCTTCCCAACCTTACATGGCAGCCCTATAGTTTCCTGCCAGCAAGACAAAGGGCTGTTCCCTTTGGCATCAGGTCGTCCTTTCAAGGGCTCCTTTAAGTGACAAGGAAGAAAAGGTCAGGGTGGGTGGGGTGGGCAGGGACAGAGGGGGCTGGGGTTGTGGGGGACAGAGGGCAGGCCTGGCGCCGTTTCAAGACCTTCTCTGCAAATACTCGTGTGTGCTGTGAGCCGGCGTTATTTACCCAGGCAGTGCGCACAGCCTGCCCTGCTCGGGTCCCACCCTGGCTGGTGCCCACGCCCTGCCCAGGTGGCTCCACCCTGCAGAGCCCCGTCCCCCCCCACCAGCCCTCTGCTCTGTCCACGTCCCCAGGGCCCTGCGCCTGCCACGTTAGGCTGGTCTCTGCCAACCCAGGGCCGCAGGCCAAGAGGCCGCGCTTCCAAGAGGCAGGGGGCTCGATTCCTCCAAGGCCTGGGCCGGTCTGGGCTCCGCTGCGGGGTCAGTGGGGAGGGATGGGGTGGTGGGGGCAGCGCTCCCCACACTTTGTGCGATGATCTGCCAGCCCCAGGCATCTGTCCTCTGCCCAGGAGGATGGCAGCCCGCCCAGGATTCATTCTCGCCCCTGTTCTGAGCGGGGAGTCAAGGCGCAAAGAGGTACATGGCCTGGATCTGGACCTCCCGACTCCCGGCCCGGGGCGCTGTCACCAGCAGAGAATTCCTACCCTGCCCTCTGCACCCCACATGCCAGCTCCCCTCGCCCTGCAAAATGCAAGGTGCTGCTCCCCAAGCCTGGCCTGGCTCCAGGGCCTCCTGAGTTAATGGTTAACATGGCCCAGGTCGGGCTGCGCCTCGCTGGCAGGGAGCAGGCCTGGGGTGCCCACTGGCTGCTCTGCCAGCCCCACCGGGTGGCCCAGGCTGCACACCCTGCCGGCCCCGTCACCCACGCCTGGAAGCCTGGGCTTGGGCCCTGCCGTGTAGACGCAGCTGCGGAGGCTCAAGGGGTCATGCAGCTGCCCCAAGCTCCCCACCTGTCCCTCTTCCTGGGGCGTCTGCGGGGCTCCTGCTTGGGCTCCTTTGTGCCACAACATCCATCCCTGCCTCCTGCTGCTCCTCTCCCTCTGACCCGACCCGTTCCTCAGACCCGCGCCCTTTGCGCGGAGGCCTGGCGGCACCTGTGCCTCTGGCCCTGGGAGTGGCTGGACCCGCCTGAGCCCACGCCTACCCGGCCCAGATCTGCAGGGGCATGGGGTCGTGTCCCGCGGCGCTAGAGTAGGTGAGCACCATGCGCTGGTTATCACGGGGTGTGGGTCCGAGCAGGGGCGACGTGGGAATAGCACCAGGCTCATTTCTCCTGTGCAGGGCGGTCCTGCCAGGGATGCCTGTGGCTCTCCTCCCCTCGCAGCCCTCCTGCAGCACCCCCAACCCCCACTCCCCAGCCTGTGCCAGGTCCTTGGCAACGATGAAACCCCCAGCCGAGCACCTGGCACGGGGCTCCTCCGCAGGGCACCCGAGGCTCAGAGAGTGGCAGGGAGCTGCCCGCATCACACCACACAGCCAGCGCCAGGCCAGAGGCCTCCTGACACGCAGGCCGCTGTGCCACCCGTCGGCCCCGTCCGGGGCCAAGCCTGGTGTCTGCCTGGCCCGGGTCAGAAGTCGGCCCAGCCCTCCCCGGGGCCGTCTCCCGAGCGATGCCTCCGGCTCTCAAACCTCCACTTGATCCCTCTGGATTAAGCCGCGTGTGTGGATTAGGGCGCCGCGTGTCCTGCTCCCTCCTGCCCCAAGCCCGGCTCCCCCTCCAGACAATGAGGGTTTGGTAACAGCTGGCAGAGGCCGGGTGTGTGTGGGGGGATGAACTGCCAAGGGCCCCTCTTGGCCCCTCTGACCCCCGCGCAGGCGGGTGGGGGAGAAGGCAGAGACCAGAATTAGAGGCAGAGCACAGCTGTCCTGTCATGACCCTTCCCACACCCGCCTGGCACCGTGTCAGGAAATGCAGTCCCCTGGGGGGTCCCCACGGCAGCCCTGGGTGTCTCCCACAGCCCATCCAGCCCAGGCCCCGTTTCCCACTGGGCTGTGGTGTGGGTCAGATGGGCCCAGCACCCCGACGGCCTCCTAGACCCACCCTGTCCACGGGCGCCCAGGACCCAGCTCAGACCCCACGGGGCGGTGGTGGGACGGGGTGACGGGCAGCCACCTGCCGTCCGCCCTGTGGAAGGAGAAGGTCTGAGGGAGGCTCCTCCTTGGGCTCACCTCTAACGGCCTCCCTCGACCCTCCAAACCTCGGGGCCCCTTTGGCTGCGGAGCCAGCATGTAGGGGTGGGACTCGGGCCTGGCTGAGAGCTGCGAGAGTGGGCAGGGGGCCACACGCCGGCAGCCCCGCGCCATCTGCTGCTCAGCACCTTGGAGAGAAGCCACCTGCCTGGCCTTGCACGCAGCAGCCCCCAAGTGCCCGTCCCCGGCCTGCCCTCCAGGTCCCTGGAAGTCACGCTCCGCAGAGCAGGGTCTGGGGGCTGCAGCTTGCAGCAGCAGGGACTGGCTGGCCCCAAGCACACCCGTGCCTGAGCTTGCTCGGAAGGAGGAGGTCGGGGCTGGTGGGGGGGCGAGTCCTTGCTCCCTGCACTCCCTCAGCTCACTTCTGGTCAGGGTCCTGAGTGAGTCTACGCCCCACAGCCCCCTCCTGCCCCTTTGCCTGGCTCTAAGCCTTGGGAGGGAGGTGGCGGAGAACCAGTAGTGGCTGCAGGGGCTCCCCTGACAGCAGAGACGTAATTCAGGCCTGGCATTTTGGGCAGGAGGAAAGGCGTGACTCAGTTTCCGTCATCATCCCTGGAGTGGATGTCCAGAGGTTCTGACAGACCTGCCCTGCCCTTCTGGCCAGCAGCGCCCCTGCCAGGCTGTCCCTGCTCCAGCAAGGGTGCTGGGTCCCCACTTCCCCCAGAAGGCAGGGACCCCAGCCCAGACGAGCTCAGGGTCTGGAGCGTGGGCAGAGGATCCAAGCACAGCTCTGCCCAACCCAGAAACTGCAATTCCTGTCTTCACTCAGCCTGCGCATGCACTTCCTCTGCCTTGAGCAGGCTGGGGCCCCCCCGACAGCGCACCCACAGACTCTCCCTCCGTCCCTCCCAACCAACTCCTATGCAGCCCTATGCAGGGGTCCAGCATCTTGGAGTGCTGGCCCAGCCTCGTCCTTGAAGCCAAGGCCTGAGGACACCGGAGGCCACCGGTCCGACAGCGCCTGCCTGGGCACCGTGGCCGGTGTGCTGGGCCTCGGGCACCTCAGCAAGGCGGCCGGGTGCTGCGGCTTGAGTCTCCAGGCAGCACAGAGGTGCGGGAAGGCTGTGCTCCTTCCCCCGGCCATGTGTGCTTCAGGAACTGCTCTCTTCTCCTGTGTGTGGCGGGGAGGCGGAGGCAGGGCCGACTCTGGCTGCTGAGTCTGCAGGGGCTGGTGGAGGAGAGGTGCCCGGAGCCCCCTGCCCAGCCTGGGCGCCTCCCGACACAGACAGGGGCACAGGGACAAGGTGAAGACACTCCGACACGACGACACACGCGAGGTCAGAAGGAACTGAACCTGCGGCTCGGAAATGAATTGGATCCAAAAGGTCAGAGGTAGGTGGGGTGGGCAGGAGGGCCGCTGGGCCCATGTGGTCCCAGGTGCAGAGTCCTGGGAGGCCGCGCTGGGAGTGGGGATCCCCGCAGCCCCAGGACAACTTGCCCAAGAGCAGAGGCAGCCGGGCCTGTCCCCCTGGGGGACCCTCGCCCAGCCATCACTCACAGCCCCTTTCCTGCGGAGAGAAGCTGGCAGCGCCCTGGCCTCGCTGGGAACCACACAAGGCCAGGGAGAAAGCCCGCGCTAAATGTCAGGAAGGGCCCAAGGCAAGCCCGGCCTACAATTGCATTGGGAAGAGTTGCTCCACCAGCAGGGCCACTCACCGGGCCAGGGAACACGGCATAAGCAGGGACTGGGGACAGAGAGGGTCCCAGGCTAGGCTCAAGCCCTGCCCCTGAGCGAGTGGGTGGTGAGGGGCTGGGGGCTAGAGGAGACAGGTGAGGAGGGCCTCCGAGAGGAAGCTGGTGCTGGGGACAGTGGAGGGGACATCTGCTGTCTGGCCTCACCCACCCCTCCCTGCCCTCTAGGAGGAGCCAGAGCAAGGAATTCCCAGCTTCCCCTACCTCAGGAGACAAGCTGGCAAACCTAGCCTGTCAGTCTCTAACCAACTCCTATGCAGCCCTCAAAGCCCTGCTGTAGTTTGTTCCCTCCATAAGCCGCCTTTAACAGAGGACAGGAGTGACGAGAGCACCAGGCCCCACGGTCGCCTTCATCCCCCAGCAGCCCGGACCGCTCCAGGTTACGCTCGGGCCACATCACCTTGAGCCATTCAGCACAGAAGTATGCCTTTTTCCCAAGCTGCTAATACACTCACAAGGACCTCGGCAGTAAACAGTGGGCTCTCCTGGACCCGCTGTTTGCTGTCACTCATGATTCTTGAGCATTCATTGAGCACCTACTGGGTGCAGGCCCTGCCCTTGGGTGTGGATGTCCGGAAGCCCTATTTGCGCAGAGGGTCCCAGTGAGAGCTATAACTTTATAATTGATGACACGCGTGGGAAACACTTGTCCTTCCCATCAGGCCCCCCGGGGCAGGGGCTCCCGTCCAGGATGCCCACTGCCCCCAGCTCTGAGGCTGCCCCTCCGGCTTTAGGCCCAGGGTGCAGATGCCCACAGGCAGGCCCGGCACCTTGCAGGGCAGGCATCTCCTCCCTGCTCTGCTGCCACCTTGGGCTGGGGCAGCCCGAGCCCTGTTTGCTTTGTTACTGAGCCCAGCAGCTGGTGCTGAGGAGCTGCCCCTTTACTGGGGGTTTGCTGAGGTGGTGGGGGCAGGAAATGCTCAGAGCCCCAGCCCCGCTGGGCAGCAGCACGAAGGCCACGCGTGTCACAAGGGAGGCCGTGGGCCAGGTGTCGTTGCCGGGCGGCCGCAGCTGCTAGCGTGAGGAGAGGGGCCTGCACACACACGTACACACGTGGGCACACGCAAACATGCGTGCACGCCCCAGACATGAAGCCCTTCAGCTGCGCACCTGTCACCCCTCCACCCTCTTGTAGGGATCTGGAGGTCTTATGGCCCCTTCAAGACCCCTCTGCTGCGTCCCTGTGGGCCCACAAGGCCTCAGCTTCCCAGATGCTCAAGGACGCCACACTGCCTGGTTCTTCCCACCCAGCCCCGGCCTGGACCCTCCAGGCCAGCAAGCCCCTGCTGTCACAGCCAGGGAGACCCCTTGGTAGAGCAGCCAGGACTGGGGGTGGCTGAGAGGCTGTGGGCGGAGCAGGAGCGGCCAGGCCTCCAGGGCTGGGACCCCCTGCATACTTCCTGTCAGCCTGGGCAGCTGGGATCATCACAGAGCCCACGGACACGGGGGAGCGGGGGGCTCCCCCAGGCTGCAGGCTCTGCCCAGGGAGGCCACCAGGGCAGCATGGGGAGGAGTCAGGGGGCCGTGAAGGTGAAGGGACCTGGGCCACAGGGTTCCTGCTGCCTGGAACACAAGCTCCGAACTGCAAAAGCATCCCCAAAGTCCAACCGAGGTTGCGGGGCTCCCAGCAGTGGGCACCCCGGCCTCCCACCAGACTTACCTGTTGGCTGCCCGGTGCCCACGGCGTTGGGTGCTGCCTTGCCAGCCTTGGAGACCAGAAGAGGTGTGGGCAGCTGGGGCCACTGTGGTGTCTCAGCCAGGCATGGGGGAGGCCGGCGGGACCGGGGGCCAGCAGGGGTAGGGACAGAGGCGGCCTCTCGGGGGAGCCTGGCCACCCTCAAAGGCGGCCGGTGAGTGTCAGGGCCGCGTGCCTGTGGGGAGGCCCCCACCGGTGCCCAAGGCCACCTGCTGTCACTGTGACGGCCGGGCTGGGGGCTGGCGGGGCGCAGTGGGCTCGGGGCAGTGTGGGCACGCGGAGCGCAGGAATGCGCGGGGAGGAAGTGCCGCGCTGTGAGATGAAGAGCTGGCCAGGCCTGACTCCCATTATAAGTAATCCTTCCTTATTTACCTGAGCAAACACACTCCCTGCTTCCCTCAGACCGCAGGCGGGCTCCTGGTTAACCCTTCAGGGGCTCCCTGCTTGCCCAGGGGTCCGGCCCTGGCAGTGGTTGGGGGCTCCCCCCTGCACCCACCCCGCCCTCCACCTGCAGAGCTCGGTTGCCAGGGGACGCACAGGATGTCACACCTGGGGCCGGCGGAGGCGCAGCGGAGGGGACCCGAGGTGCCGGGGTGGCTCTGCCTGACCATGGGCCCCCAGCCCCGCAGGCTCCCGTGTTTCTGGGAGGACCCTGCCCGGTGCTCTGAGGCACGCGTACGGACGGCCACTGCCAAGAAGCACCTGCTACTCACCAGCACACTTGGGATCTGGGGTGCTAGCATTGTGAGCACCGTACCGGGGGCCAGTGATGCCTACTGAGGTGGTAGGGTTCCGGGCAAAGCTGGTTACCCCAATGCCATTCCCCCCTTTTCTTTAATGAACAAGGCATGATTTTTATTTTTATTTTTTTGGTACAGGGAATCAAACTCAGGGCCTCGCACTTGCCAGGCAAGCACTATATCACTGAACAAATCCCTGCCCCGCCCCCATGATTTTTAGCAGGGCACATGGCTACCTGGAATGAAGACTGTCCCAGCCTGCCTGGCAGTGAGGTGTGACTCTAACCAAATGGAAGTGTTATATGACAAGATTTCTAAGAACTTTCTTAAAAGTAAGCTAGTAAGGGATAAAGGTGTAGCTCAGAGGTAGAGCAGTTGTCTAGCATATGCAAGGCATTGGGTTCAATTTCTAGCACTGAAAAAAAAAAAAAGCAAAGCTGACATGTACCATTTATTGCCTTTTTTCTTTTTTTTGTTTGTTTTTCTCCGGTACCGGGAACCGAACTCACGACCTTGCGCTTGTCAGGCAGGCGCTTTTGCCGCTGAGCTAAATCCCCAGCCCTATTGCCTTTTTTCTTTATCCTTCCTCCATCTAGCTGCCTGGAATGTAGCTGTGAGAGCTGGCATTGAGGCTGCCATCGTGGACCCTGAGGAAAAGATGGCAGAATACTGACCAAGAAGGAGCCTGGGTCTCTGAGGACTGTATAGAACCTCCATCCCAGTGTTAGACTGCCTGGCTCAGGGCTGCCTATCTCAGGACTTTTATACAAGAGATAGACTTTTTACTTCTCCCTGTGTGGGCCTGGCCTACAGACAAGGCTCTGCCATCCTGGGCCTGCTCCGTGGCTGTGCACACCCATGGCTGAAGAGGGACAGGAAGGAGCCTCTGAGAGCTAAAAAGAGTCACCAAAGTGAGCGAGGGAGGACTCTTTCTTCTCGGCCTGGGCCGTGGGGGTGATGTCGATGAGGGGTCCTGGTGGGTCTGGTGCCCAAGCAGGCCATGCTGCGGGGAAAAGAGGCAGCCAGGGCCCACCCGGAGGGACTCTGGTGACACACACCCCGTCTACACCTGGAGCCGGTCAGCGTGGCATCATGGTGCGGCTCGGGTTGGACCCCACCCTGCTGGGGCGCAGATCTGGCCCGGTCCACAGCTCTCCGGACTCACTGTCCTCAGCCCGTGCTGAGGTTGAGTCCCAGGCGCTGGCCACCGGCGCCTGGGCGGCACACGGCCTGGTGTGTGTGACCCCATCCAGGCACGTGTGTTCCCCAATCTACCGAGCCCCGGGCCCCCTACAGCACGGGGCCTTGAACTGGTGTCAGGAAAGGGCTCTGCCGCTGCGCTCCGGCCTACCCCCCTTTTTTTTTGAGACAGGGTCTCACTAAGTTGCCCAGGCTGGCCTTGGATTTGCAACCCTCCTGCCTCTGCTTCCCGAGTAGCTGAGAGGAGGGTGCCAGCGCACCTGGAGACTTTCTCTCCTACTTTTTCCATCTGCGGAGCCCTCTCCTCAGAACGCCTTCCTGGGTCCCCTCCAGCTGTCACAAACTTCATGTACCCCAAGTTCGTGTTCTCTGTCTCTTCCCCCCAGCATCTCTGTCTTCCTGAGCCTCGGGCTCCTGGCGACAGGGACCTGTCTGTCAGCGTCAGTTTGCTTTCTGCTGTGTCCCTGCGCTCCCATCCTCCCCGGGGCACGAAGGAGCTGCGAGGCACAGACCAGGCTGCCCCGCGAGTCCCAGCTGACGGCCGTGCAGGTCCAGGCTGGGTCCCGGCCACTCATGCGCAGACAGGACGAGGCGGCGTCGGGCTGGGCCCGCTGGGAGCCTCTCTCCGGGCACCGGGCCGGGCTGGGCGATGGGGGCTGTGCCCCGAGATCCAGCACAGCAGGGTATTCTCAGCGCCCCGGCCGCCAGCCCCTACCTCAGGCACAGCTGGACCACGGCACCTGGCACCGCCCACACCCGCACGGGCCGGGCCCTGGGCAGGCACAGCTGCTCGGAGGAGTTCCTGACCTGATGCCGCCGTCTCCCGGTGCCTCGGCCTCCGAGGGCAAGCTGACCCCCTGCGTCCCTCCCGCCAGCAGCCACCTGTGGGCTTCCTGGTGCTGCGGGGGCGCGCTTCTGGCCTGGGGAGGCAGGAGGGAGGCCCTGGGGCCTGCGGTCCAGGCCTGGGCTGCGAGAGAGGCCACCGCTCCTGCACTAGGGCCGGGGTGGGGGCAGCAGGGGGAGAAGGACCCGCTCACTGCTGCCGGCCCTGCCTGCCTCTGGCCAGCTGCTCTGTGAGCCAGGTGGGAGGGGAGCGGCCGTGCGGTGCCAGGCGAGGCGGCCGAGTCCCCGGGTCAATGCACCGGGTCATCCCGACAGCTTCAGAGCCAGCGCCACCATCGCCAGCGTCCTGTTTTAACTGCAGTGGGGAAACTGAGGCAGAGGGAAGTGGGAGGCTGGCACCGTGCCCTGAGGAGCCAAGGGCCACCTGCCGCCCTCCCTGCCTGGGCCCAGCGTTGCCAGCCCCTCCCCCGGGCACCAGGAGTGCCCCCTGCCGTGGTGGGGGGCGGAGGTGGAGGACCCACGTCACCACCCACCCCACCGGCTGCTGCCTTTTCCCCATTAACGCGCGGAGCCGCCGGCCGGGAAACCGCAGCCGATAAGAGCACAATCGGGCTGTTCTGCCGAGTGGCCGGGGGCTGGGCCACCTGGCGCTGCGGGGAGGGGGCGGCCTCGGCCCCCACGAGGCCCCACTATCAGCCGCCCTGTCCCTGCCAGCAGCCCCTTTGAAATGTACCCACCTTATCAGGGCAGCTTCGCAGCTCTCCAGGGAGGGCCGTGGCCTCTGTGTCCTGCGCTGCCGCTGCCGCCTTCCGCCTGGGCCCCAGGGGACGGCTGCGGTGGGGAGCGCCGGGCCCTCCGACCCTGAAGGAACCCTGGCATCACACGCAGCGCTGGCATCACTGCCGTGGCTGCGGCCGTTTGTGCCCCTAGGCCTGGCCCAGGCTGCGCCCCCTCCACATCCTGCTCTGGGCTGCACCCCTGGTGCCAGGTGGGGGAGCTCAGCTTCCGTCCCTCCTCGGCACCCCTGAGCCTGTTCCGTGCCTGACCCCCAGCCGCGCCTTCAGCAAACGTTCCTGAGCGCCTACGACCTGCCAGGTACTGGGGACCAGGACCCACCGATCTTGCTCTCCCGAGGCGCTGGAAGGAGGATAAACACTCACAGAAGGAGGGCTTAATGAGCCGGGGGTGATCACCGCTGCTACGGGGCGGAACCCCTGCAGCTGACGTTTCAATCCAGACCTGAAGGAGTCCAGTTCTCTGCACTGGGGAGTGCGACTCACAAGCACAGGGGCGGGGGGAACGGCAGGGACAGGTGGGAACGTGGGCCCAAGCTACGGGCACGGAGCAGTGAGCTGGAGGCCCAGCCCCGAGCCTGGTGCTGCTGCTTCCTGCTGCGCATCCTCAGGGACTTCCCCTCTCAGCCTCAGTTTCCCTTCCCTGTACAAGGGGGTCAAAGATCTCTTTCTTCAGAGGTCAGGAGCCGGGAGCAACGGTGCAGCCAGGGGGCACCAGGTCACAGCCCAGGGTGAGGCCGAGTGGCACTTGGGACCCAGTGTGTGCCGAAGTGCTCTGGCGGCCTTTGTAGGATCTCGAGCTCGGCCACCCAGCTAGCGCCTGCGGCCGTGCCCGGCCCTCTCTTCATTTTCATCAACGCAATGAGCACTGCGAAGCCAGCCGCGACCCGAGGTCCAGGCTGTCCCCCGCAGCCCTGCGTGCTGCCCTCCTGAGTCCTGGGGTGCGGGCGATTTCACAGGTGAGCAACGGAGGCACAGTAGGGATGATGCTGGGGACCCGCAGGATCACCCTTCCCACTCTCTTCCTGTCCCAGCCTCCAGCCAGAGGAGCCACGGAGGACAAGGCCACCCCCTGACCCCTGCCCATGGCCTGTGGGCCCTGCAGTCCCGCAGGCCCCGTTCCACAGCCCTGACCGCGGGCTGTGGGGACAGCCTGCTGGCTCCCCACTGGCCCCCAGCGCTGCTCTTCAGCCCAGCTTGGCGGCATAAGAGCCCTGGGGCCTCACTGCCCTCCTGTGCTCCCCGCAGGCAGCGCCCAGCACAGGTGAAAGGAATGCACAGGCCACACCAGGAACGGGTGGACGTGAGGAGAAGCCACAGGACGGAAGAGGACGGGTGCGGAGGGCAGAAGGCGGCGGGGTGGGACTCAGCACCCAGCACCCCAGGGCGCCCCGGGGCCGTCTGGTCACTCAGCCTGACCCTCCGATGCCCCCACTGCTCGTCTCCAGCCCAGGGACACAGTGACGGCCAGTGTTCCCGGGAGTGTCCCGAGCAGACAGTCGATGGCTCTGTGGGCCTGGATGGTGTGCGGGACTCTGCCAGGCAGCAGCGGTGCCCGGGAGCTGCTCGGCACCCTTGGCCTTGGCCCCGACAGGAATGGCTGCTGCCGGATGGGTGGGGGCTGGGTCCAGGTGCAACACCACTGAGCAACTCTGGGCCCTCCTGTGGGTTCCGACCTGCTGGGGTACTGGTCACACATGACAGTCTGATAAGAGCGCAGGACCCTCACCTCAGAACACACACACACACGAAATCACCCAAT